CCATCTTTTTTCAAGGGATTCGGTAATGTCGGTCTGCATACTATGCGGTATTTCCATCGTGCTGGTGCAGTCTGCATTGGTGTACAGGAATGGGATTGCGCTATCTACAACCCAAAGGGTATCCACCCGAAAGAACTCGAGAATTGGCGAATTGAACATGGAACAATCAAAGTCTATCATACATCTTGAGTCATTTAAAAAGCAATGAACTTAAAAATCCCTAGAGTTGGTTTTCATATTTCGCCTTTTAGGGCTTCCCAGGGGCTCAAGCATTCGAACCATTCACTGATCTCATTTATGAGAAATGTGATATTTTGGTTCCAGCCGCTTGTGAAAAAACTATCCACAAAGGCAACGCTAATAAGATTCAAGCTAAAGTATGAATTTAAAATGCTTGTAAAGAAAGTTTAGACTTTCTCGTCCTTTGGTAACATATGCTACGTCAAGTAACGTTTAATTATCATCCTTCAAGCCAATAATTCCAGGTGATTGCTGAAGCTGCTAATGGACCAACAACACCGGCTGCTGACAAGATTCTGCTAGCTCGCGGAAACTGCCTGATTATTCCGGATTTGTATGTTAACAGCGGTGGTGTAACAGTTTCATATTTCGAATGGTTGAAAAACCTTAACCACGTCAGCTTTGGTCGTTTGACATTCAAATACGAAAAAGACTCTAACTACCACCTGCTTGGTAAGGCCCAAACAATCAATTTCTACTTCCCTAAAAAATTTCTAAAGTGAATTCCTGCACGCACTGTATCGTAGTTGAGCGAGGGCGCCCAACAAACAAAGCAGCACATTCTTCTCCTATCGCCGATTTATCTAGTCATTGAAGCTTTCCAAAACGGCGAGCAATGGCTGTATGTTTTACGTCCAGCGTATGCACTTCCCCTTGACGGCTACGTGCCGTTTTTCTAAACCAAGCGTCAACAAAAAAATTATTTTTACTTGCGGAACTAAAGAGAAAGGGGGATTTTTCAAATGAAAAAAAGGAGTCTTTCTAATCTTCAGTTTAAGATCAAACATCAAAATAGTTGTAAAAAGAACTACTAAGTTTTCCCCTCCAATATTCTTTGTCACCAAAAGTTGCTTCTTTAGTTGTCCTTCAATCAAAATCTGTAAAAGCCTGGAAGGGAGGTGATGAAAAACTGTATTATTACCCCCTCTTCTCTCCTACTCCATTAAAAATGTCGTTTTTTTCTTGCCTTAATGACTTCAATCAGATGAACAACGAAGATACAATGATAGATACCACTGCGCAAAGTCTCGTTATATATATATATATATATATTTTTTTTTTTTATAGACAGTGTGCAAGAATCACTGAAACGTTCGCTGAACAAGGAAGTCAAGATTGAACCAACTGCTGCATTCCAAGCCCGTATTGCTGGAGCTTCAGAGAAAGATATTGTCCACTCAGGTCTCGAATTCACTATGCAACGGTCCGGTGAAGCTGTTCTACATACAGCCCACAAGTACAACTTAGGTCTCGATCTCCGCTCAGCCGCATATGCAAACTCAATTGAGAAGGTCTACAGGACCTACAGAACTCTCGGATTCACCTTCACATAAATTTTTTCTCAAATAGACTAAATCTGGGGAAATTATTAATTAACTGTTTGCAGAGTGCTGCCTAGCAAGTGCATTTGCCAGACTTCGTTTTTTTTTTT